ATGATTGTCGCCGTTTCTGTATTACCGTTAGCAAAACTTTACTCGCATGGGATATCAAAGAGATTGTCTGATGATTTCTGCATTCCATTGAGTCACCTCTCTTTGGAATGGGCACAAATACCGATCTCTTCCAATCAGTTGGCCAGATAGTTGTCTTCCAAATTTCTTGGCAGAGATGAGTGAGTGCCTCTTGTGTACTAATTTATGTACACAGCACTAGAGTCAGTGATGCTGAAGTTGAAGAATTTTACCAATTTCTTCGTCTGAAATTGATCAACCATGCAATCAAGATGTATTGATAAGTACTGGAGATTGGAATGCAAAGGTTGGAAACAAAAAGGAGGGAACAGTTGTTGGAAAACATGGCCTTGGTGATGAAACAGCACTGGAGATCACATGATAGAATTTTGTTAAGACCAACGACTTGTGTGTTTTAAATATCTTTTGTAAACAACATAAAAGACGATTTAGCACATGGACCTCACCAGATGGACTACACAGAAACCAAACTGATTACATCTGTGGAAAGTGACAGTGGCAGACTGCTCATATGCAAGCTCAGGCTGAAGCTAAAGAAAATCAAAACAAGTTTGTAAGAGGCTAAATATGACCTTGAACATACCCCACCTGAATGTAGAGATCGTCTCAAGAAGAGACTGAATGAATTAGACACTATCAACCGAAGACCAGGAGAGCTGTGGGGTGACATCAAGAACATACAGGGAGAATCCAAAGCTCACTAAGAAGACAAGAAAGATGGGCTAGATGGGACAGAAGTAAAGAGTGATATAGCCACAACCTTGGAATAACAGTGCTCTGTGAGCCGACACTTGGACGAAGACATAGGCTGAATGGGAAAAGGAGGGTAACATATGTTTATGTGTTTGACTATCCTGTAGATACTGGTTTCTTCTGGCTACTAATGTAAAACAGACATTCATGTGCAATAGAAATGAATATTGGGAATTATGACCACAGAAAGGTTATAAACTGTCTTCAGCCTATAACTGATTGAATTTGCTAAAAGGGGAGTTAGAATTTGCCCTTGGAAATAGGATTCTTGTTAAACCTTTGTAGAGTATGGGGCCTTAGGTGGAATTTTGAGACCCTTCCAGAACCTTCTAAGTTGGGTCATTCCCACTTGAAAAGACATGGAGACCAACCCAGAAACTGCTGTTGTTGTTAAGTACTGTGGAGTCGGTTCCGACTCACAGTGACCCTGCAGCACAGGGTTCCCAAAGCTGTATATCTTTATGGGAGCAGAAAGCCTCATCTTTCTCCCGCAGTACAGCTGGTAGTTTCAAACCGCTGACCATGAGGTTTGCAGCCCAACTTGTAATCACTAGGCTATCAGAGCTCCTTAGAAACTGATGGGTGAACAGAAAATTCTTATTGAAAGAAAGACCTTCAGGAAAAAAGTGGACTGCTTGGCTGTCTGCATTTCAAGCAAGGTGTTGGCTTTGGAGGCATCAAGGCAAGAAAAGTCAGCCCATCAGGAAAAACCCCCTTCTAGGACTGAAACTTTAAAGGAATCCGCGAGCAGTCTAGTATGCTCATTGGTGACCACTGGGTCTACTTGTGACTGGAAATGGGAGAGATGTGGCAAAGAAGGCATGGGTTGAGTTTGGCCATGCTCCACTGACACCTGTTGACCTTGAGATGAGAGAAAGAACAGGAAGGGCTGGCTAGTCTGAAGTTCAGAGAGCTTTGTGAACTCTCGGGACCATGGGAACTGATCTAGTCCCTGGGGTCTAGGGATGAGAGTGGAGCGGCCAGCTGGTCTGAAGTGCAGGGTGATGTTCGTGAACTCCCAAACTTACAGCTAGTACCCATTTGACCTAGCTTGAATGGCTAGCTTAACCAGAACTCGACCAGATGGAGCTACACATACAATTGATGCAGGCGATCAAGATTATCACTGGAGTGGAAGGATATTCTTCATTATACGGAACAAACTTGTTTCCTCAGTGACTGGGCGGATGTTGTTGTAACGTGCCATCAAGTCAGTTCCTACCCATAGTAGTTTCTAAGGAGCAGCTGGTGAGCTTGAACTGTCAACCTTGTAGTTCAAACTGACTTTGCAGTCCAGCGCATTAACCCACAGTGCAACACCAGGACAGGCAATTTAGACATTGGCTATCAAAAATGGCTAGCACTCGTCTGTCAGTTTGTCGTACTGTGGTGCTTGGGAGTTGCTGTGATTCTGGAAGCTATGCCATGGGTATTTTAAATACCAGCAGGGTCACCCATGGTGGACAGGTTGGACATGGTGTTGGAGGAGAATATTGAAAGTACCATGGGCTGCCAAAAGAACCAATAGATCTGTGTTGGAAGAAGTGCAGCCAGAATGCTCCTTGGTGGGCAAGATGACCAAACTTTGTCTCTCATACTTCTGACATATTATCAGGAGGGACCAGTGGCTGGAGAAGGATATCATGTTTGGTAAGGCAGAGGGTTAGAAAAAAAGAGGAAGACCCTCAACGAGATGGATTGGCAAAGTGGCAGCATCAACGGGCTGAAGCATGGCAACAATTGTGAGATTGGCCCAGGACTGGGCAGTGTTTCATTCTGTTGTATACAGGGTCGTTATGAGTCAGTATCGATTTCACGGCACCTAACAACAACAACATCAAAAATGGGGGAATACAAAGGCAGGAAGTGACTGGCTTACAAGCTTTCATGAATGTGCTTAGTTTCAAGAATGAGGGGGGTAAGGCAAAATCCCCAATGAATATTTTTCCTCTTTTCCTGATGGATCTGGTGAACGGGGATTGGGGATGATGGTGATAGGATTTTATGATTCAATTTTTAGTAACTGTTAGTAATATTAATTGTGATTATCACAACTGCAATTATAGAAGATGTGTAAATAAAAAGGGGAAGTAGTTAATCTTTCATTTCAGGAACAGATGATCCCAAGACCATCAAGAAGGAAGAGCATGTGTAGATCGTGAGATCTCTACCCAGAAAAGCGGCAACAGCAGAGATGGTGGCAGAGGCGGTGGCCTGGAGACACAGAGAAGCTGCAGGCCCTAGGCCCAGGGACTGAGTAAGGCTGTGTGCTCATGGACAGAAGGCTGGCATGAGAATATGCCTGTTAGACATTTAAATGGATATATATTTTTGCTTGCTTTGCTGATGCGTGAAATAGAAGATATAAATGTGGAGCCACAGGGAGGAAGTAGAACTTGCTACTAGGCGGAGACTCTAATCACTCAGATGAAACAAAGCATGTCATTTGTTGAGTGTAAAGCTAATGATCTTGTCTGTAAACTTTCACTCAGTTCACAATAAAAAATTAAAAAAAAAAAAAAAGCCCAGAAAGAAGGAAAAGACCCAAACGGATGTCAGAAGAGACTCTGAAGCTTGCTTTCCATTTCTAGCGCAGACATGCTAAAGCAAATGAAAGAAATGAGGAGGCAAAAGAGCTGAAAAGAAATTTTCCAAGGGCAGCTACAGTAGACAGTCAGATATTAAAATGAAATATGCAAAGACCTGGAGTTAGAAAACCAAAAGGGAAGAACATGCTCAGCATTTCTTAAGCTGAAAGAACTTAAGAAACAATTCAAGCCTTGACTCGCCATACTATATGGGCAAAATACTGAGTGATGCAGAAAGCATCAAGAGAAGATGGAAGGAATACACAGTAACTGTACCAAAAAGAAATGGCCATATGTAACCATTTCAAGAGGTAGCATATGAGCCAATGAATCTGATCAAGAGCCAATGATACTCTTGATCAAGAGCCAATGATACCGAAGGAAGAAGTCCAAGACATTGGCAAAGAACAATGCTCTGGGAATGGATAGAATACAAATTGAAATCTTTCAACAAACTGATGCACTCATTCACCTATGCCAAGAAATTTGGAAGACAGCCACCTGGTCAACTGATTAGAACACATCCACATTTGTGCCCATTCCAAAAAGCGGTGACCCAATGGAATGCAGACATCATGGATAATTTCTGAAATATCTCATGTAAGTAAAATTTTGCTAAAGACAATTCCAAAATGGCTGCAATACTGCACTGACAGGGAACTGCATGAGGTTCAAGCTAGATTCAGACAAGGACGTGCTTTATTGACCCTCGCAAAGGTGGATCATGACACGCTCTGGACAACATTGTGGAGAATGAGTATTCTGGAACACTTAATTGTGCTCATGAGAAATAGTACATAAACCAAGAGGCAGTTGTTTGAACAAAATAAGGGAACAGTGAATGGTTTAAAATCAGGAAAGGTGGGCGCCAGGGTTGTATCCTTTCACCATATTATTCAATCAGCATGCTGAACAAGTAATTTGAGAAGCTGGATTATATGAAGAACGTGGTTATCAGGATTGGAGGAAGGCTCATTAACAACCTGCAGTATACAGATGATACAACTTTGCTTGCTGAAAGCAAAGAGGACTTAAAATACTTACTAATGAAGATCAAAGACCATTGGTTACATGGCAATGTAAAGAAAACAAAAATCCTCACCATTGGACCAGTAAGTAACATCACGATAAATGGACAAAAGACTGAAGTTGTCAAAGACTTCATTTACTAGGACTCAACATCAACACTCAAGGAAACAGCATGAAACCAAACAACAGATTTCATTATGCAAATCTGCTGGCACAAGGCCTAGTCTAGTGTTCAAGAGCAAGTATCAGTGTGAAGATGCCTGAGCCAAGCCACGGCACTTTTCAATAGCCTCACCAGTGCCTGACATTTCGATAGTGAATACGGAAGACTATAGACGATTTGATGCATTTGAGTTACAGTGTTGGAGAATATTAAAAGTACCATGGACTGCCAAAAGAACAAACAGATCTGTGTTGGAAGCACAGCCAGAATGCTCCCTGGAAGCCCAGATGGCCAGACTTCGTCTTTCATACTTCAGCCATATTGTCCCTGGAGAAAGACGTATGTTTGGAGAAAAAAGGCAGAAGACCCTCAACGAGATGGACTGGCACAGTGGTAGTAACAACAGGCTTCAGCATTGCAACGATTGTGAGGTTGGCGTAAGAGCGGGCAGTGTTTACCTTTGTTGTGCATAAGGTCCCTATGAGTGGTATCATCTCAATGGCACCTGACAACAACAGTCAGTCAAGCTGTCTGTGCAGTAGCAGCCATGAAGTTACACAATGGGATTCCCGGCACAAGGTGCAGGGACAGAGCAGACACTAGCCGGATCCCCTGCTGCACTCGCACTGGCTCCCTGCCTGCCTGGGGAACATGTCCTTCCTGGTGACTGGTATACAGTACAGGTCCCGACACACAGCCTGGCATATAGCGTAGGGCCCACTGAGTGTGAGCAGTCGGCAAATCCTTGGTGAGCGAGTGTACATGGACAAGTCCAGCCATCACCAAGGCACAGTCTGGCCTCCTTCTGCTGGAGCCACGCCTTAAACACCAACCTGGTGTTTCCTCTTCGAACAAACTGCGGAATACGTGGTTCCTTGTTTTCAGGCTGCGGAACTCACCTCCCTCAGTAACAGGATGAATGAGGCAAAATAGAACACATAGACCATCCCCACCAGCCAGTGCAGGAACATGGTGGTGCCCGGTGCCGACTGAAAGCTCAGCTCCCGGTCCTTCAGGGTGGCATCAAACATTTCCTGGAGAGACAGATAGACCAGGTCAGCATGCCCCACTCCCAGGGTACCAGGATGCACACGCAGGGGATGAGGCTTTGGGGCTGTCCCTGTCCTAGCACCATCTCGCTGAGCCAGTGGAATGCACACATTTTAAGGTGGAATGTAAGATGCCAGAAGGAGTGGATAAGAGTCTCACTGCAGGGTTCAGGAGGCGCCCCGTACAGTACGACTCAAGGTCTACCCTTGGCTGAGGCCACAGCACTCAAGAGAGGTGGCAGAGAGGATCCTTAGAGCCAAAGGGTGGAGACTGAGGTTCAAGACTCTTTCTGGTCATTAGGAAAGTTCCAGCAGTCATGTCCATGACATCTCAGCGTTACTGTATAGTGGACAAGGACATATTGGGGAAGACAACTCTCCCTGGTCGTTAGGAAGGTTCTAGTCAATATGCTCTCACTTCAAAAAATGTGAACGCGCCCCTAAACCCTTACTCTACAGTGACACACGACACTCAGCATGGGCAGGTCCAGGGCCACCATTTACAGTCCTCTCAGCAGGGGACCGACTGACTCACCAGGGAGCAGATGTCCAGCCACCAGCCACAGATGAGTGGAAATACGCCGATCTCCACCACCACCAGCAAGGAGACCTGGAGGGAAGTGAATGCCATCAGGGTGGCTGGGTGAGGGTTGGGAAGAAGGCTTCTCACACTAACGCACAGGAATTACCTTCACCACAATGTAGCAGACCCCCAGTAAGCGACGGGAGCGGTGAAACTTCACGAGAGTTGCCAAAGCCTGCATCCCCAGGTCAAGGAAAAGCTGCTGTCGACACGCCCAGGGCACAGGTGAGGGCTCAAGGGTCTGCACGGTCTGCCCGCCATCACCCACATGGCCCATCCCTATACCTGTTACAAAGCGGCCACTACCGCAACCACACGAGAGCAAGGGCACCACTGGATAGCAGCCATGTTGCCCTTTAAAGGATACATGGCAGATGATCAGCGTTATTGCTAAGAGTATGTAGCCAACTATGGTGGTGATCAGCCCTTCAAAATGAGACGCCTGGACCTGAAACAAGAAAAACGCAGAACTCAGTGGGACAGATCTGCAGTCCAGATGGCCCCGGGCCCCAGCAGCTCTACGGGACTGACGACAAGGCGGCACTGGAGAAGCAGATGGCCGGATGGTGGGCGGGTTACGTTTCACACAGACCAGGGTGGACTTGCAGTCACAGGGTCTGCCCTCTCCAGTGACCAGTGCCAGCCAGAGGGTGTGTGCACAGTGACAAAACACGACAAGTGTCCGGAGAGTCAGAAAATGGTGAGAACAAGGCTCACTCTGTGCTTTCCAAACGTCACACTCTGACATGTGTGTGCTCTCAAGATTCATGCACACAAATTAACCGAAGAGCCCTGATACGTCATAGCTTCCTTCAAAGGTCAGCTCATTCTGGGGCCCCAGAGAGGTGGGGTGGTCGGACTTCATCCATTTACCTGACTCTAGGAAATAGCAATAAAATGACACTTAATGTAGATGCTGAGAAAACAGTAGCCGGCCACTCCAAGAGTGTCAGGGTCCTGGGGCCAGGAGAGGAAAGACACCAAACTCTGGGGCAGTGGCCAGTCCTGAACAGAGCCTCCCCCCAGGCAGAAGCAGGCCACCTAGAGGCATCCTGGTCAGCTGGCACAGTGACTGCTAACCCGTACCACCAGTGTTCCAAAGAGAAATCATGAATGGAAGTAAGTTTAAAAAAGCATTCGACTTACGTGTTCTTCGAACCCCAACATGACGAGGGAGAAATGGCCAATGTGGTAAGGACAAAAGGCTGCAGGGGAGAAAACTCAATGACAATCTCAACCCCGAGACAAGGAGCAACCCAACGCCAGCACCCAAACTAAAGGGACCAGCAGGCTCCCTGGGCTGGGACATGCTGTGAAGGGGGTGCTGTAGGTAGATGGCAGCTGGCTGCACTGTAGGACAGACCGACACGCACGTGGCCAGGAGCTCCTCATGCCCAGCAAGAGTAATCCCGAGCCGCTATGGCCACCACCAAAGGAGCTAAGCAATGTACAGAGAAGACGTTCTGACTCTGAAAACCGAGCACCCAAACAGAATTTCTGATGAGCCAGTTGCATAGTGGTTACGAATCGGGCTGCAAACCTTAAGGTCAGCAGTTCGAAACTACCAGCTGTTCCGTGGGAGAAAGAGGTGTTCTGCTCCCATAAAGATTTATAGCCTCGGAAACCCTGTACAGGGTTGCTATGAGTCGGAACCCACTCCACGGCACATAACCACCACCACCACACTACCCTAGCTGACAACAGTAAGTCCTGTCCAGAAGACAGGCAGCCATAAAGATACACATGACAGAACGTAAACCCGGTCTCTCTGCAGCTCTGAATGACAGACTCTGGGCAAGAACACCATGAGTACAAAGCCACTTGTGAATGGCAGACCCGGTTCTGGACACACTCAGGGTCCTCGCGGCCACCACCCTCAGGTGACTCGCTAGACCCAAGCACAGGTTCAGGCTCAAAAAGCTGGTGACTAAGCATCACACCTTCCTGCCCAGAGTGTACAAAAAGTGATGTCTCTGCCAGGGCTGGGTGGTACCAGGTCCTCCGACTCGGCCTGCAGCTGCAGGGAGCACAGGGATGTGAGGAGGGACAGTAGGGCTCTAGTCCTCGGTGTGAGGATCCAACACTGAGGGCAGTCCAGAGGGGAACACAGCCAAGGGGGACACACCAGTGTGGCTAGGGCTGCTATGGTTTGAGGACATTAGTGTGAGGACTCTGCAGAGTGGGGACGTCGGTGTGAGGACTCTGCAAAGTGGGGACGTCGGTGTGAGGACTCTGTAGTGTGGGCACATCAGTGTGAGGACTCTGCAGAGTGGGGACGTCGGTGTGAGGACTCTGTAGTGTGGGCACATCATTGTGAGGACTCTGTAGTGTGGGCACGTCAGTGTGAGGACTGCAGAGTGGGGACGTCGGTGTGAGGACTCTGTAGTGTGGGCACATCAGTGTGAGGACTCTGTAGTGTGGGCACGTCGGTGTGAGGACTCTG